ACACACACACACACTGTCTCTGTGCTGCACACACACAGGTCTTCAAGGTAACATACAGGAGGGTTAGCGGTGAATAACATTTCTGACATTCCACAAGTCTCCAGTATATTATGTTACAGACTTCAGGTCACCAATGTACAATCACGATTACAGAGCTATTCCAACTATGGTGGACATCTGAGTCACATTCAGCAGCAACAATGCCTCACTATCTACCTGTTTTTAGCTGGTTTTACCATAGAAGTCATTGTTTATGCTGTTTGTAGTTATAGTGACAGACAAGGCAATTAAATCTGCCTAATTTCTCTTTTTTAAATTAAAATGAATCTAATTTTAAATTTAAGTTAGTTTTTTTAACCTTAAAAGTACCCTGAAGCTTATTTAAATAGTCTGATATGGTGTTCAGATAGGAAGAAACTAAATAACTAAATATTAGAGTATAAGCTTCACTCCTTTGGATTGTTTTAAAAATTAAATATAACCTGCTGTAATATTTATCAGTGTATACTGTCAATCACAATTTACTCCACAGCCTGGTTAAAGGTCCTGGGGAGTGCAGCTGCAAATGAGAAACAGGTTGTAGTTGTTGAGTGAGCGTCAGTAGGGAGTCGAAGCTACAGCTACTAGCATAACACACCTGAGTCTCCGACCGAGCTGTCAGCGGTCGTGTTGCTACATTAATGTATGTGCCAGGTTTTTACAATGCAGAAGAATGTGTGGAATAAAATAGATGATATCTCTGGTTCTGATGCATCTATATTTTATAACTATCCATCATTAGTTATAGAGAAGTGTAAAGTTAAGTTGGTGGAGTACTATTTTAAACAAATCTTGCCTGAAATAAGAGCTGGTAACAAATGATTTAATTGGCCTGGGTTTCAGTGGGTTTTAAGTGTCCTGTAATGAGTTTAAATGCTGTTGAACCAGAACAGGCATACATATATTTTGGCATACAAAATGGTCAAATTTGATGACAAAGACTATTCGACAACTGACAAATAGTCTCAGTATGTGCCTGTGTGTATATATCTGCCTTCAAAACACCTTTATGACCAAACTCTCAGACTTACGATTGTCCATCTTCATCCTCCTGCACTCATACAACAGAACCAAAAAAACTAAAAAAGGACAGAGGGATTGACAGCACAGAACAATTTGACTGTTTGCAGGTTGGCTTCACTGCAGTCGTTGTTGTCTGTGCATTATGTGACCAACCAACCTCCCCTCCCCAACCCCAGACCTTTCCCCTGAGCCTCAGCCTTCACACACGGTTGAGAGAAAACACACATTTCCCCTCGTACTACTGTGAACCATCTGCAGGGGATGAATAAAACGGCTTCAACTGGAGCGCAGCCAGGAATGTGTGTAGTCATACTGGAAGAACAAACTGGGAAAATAAATTGGAAGTCGGAGAGTCCACTGAAGTAATCACTGTCCTCTTGTACCATTCGTCCATATAGTTGTAATTTGGAAAGAAAAATGTGAATAGGCCTTAAATGTTGTAATTGGACCATTAATCTCTTTGTTATTTTTACCCCTCTGTGCATGCAACATTGAATGAACCCAAAAGATTGTAAAAGGAAACATTTATAATGGTTTGCATCGTAAACAACTTCTAATGCTCTATAATTTAGATCCTGTTATTAAGGAAAACAACTAAACAATCATTTTTATTTAGGGCTGAAAAAAATTAATTAATAATAATAATAATAATAATAATAATAATCAGCAATTATTTTGAAAAATTGAGAAATTGCTTCGCATTTATCAAGAAAAAATGCCACTGTGAGCATTTTCTTGTTCCAGCTACTAAACTGTGTGAATTTGTTGTTTCTCTCTTGGTGAAAAATGAAAACCCAAGGTGATGTCTTTAAATGTCTTAAATGTGAAGCCCAACAGACCAAAATTCAGAAAATAGCAACAAATCCTCAAAGCTTGACATTTTGCCTGATTAAACACATTAAACAATAAATCCGTAATCAAATAAGTTGTTGACAATTGTTTCCACTGTTTTCTAATATTTAAATATTGACATTTAAATGCAAATATCTCCCAGTTTGTTTCTGAACTATCACACTGTGTCAAACAGAGTCCTGCAGATGTGAAACCACATGGGACAAAACACACACTGGTTCATACTTTTCCACCTCTGCAGGCAGTTGTAATAATCGCTCTTCAACTTCCTCTGCGAAGTAATAAACAGAGGACGAGAACGTGAAGTATGTGACCCAGACACACACACACACACAAAAAAATAGGCTTTACTGTCTATCCAAAGGAAAAACAAAAACATCCCCAGAAGGAAGAAGTAAGACACAGAACAGAACAATCGGAGGCTCCTGTGCTTTGTGTCAGGCTGCAGTTCTGGCAGATGATGGAGAAAGTCTAAAGTAAAGTGAACAGCAGTTCCTATGATGTCCACTCTTTACCGAACAAAGACTGAGATCCTGCTTGCGGTTTGGTGTGTTGCCACTTTGCTTTACAGACTGAAACCACAGGAATGTCAAACAGGCTGCAGCAAACATCCCATTCATTCTGAGTGAATGAGAAAGTTACAGCAGCTTTGCTAATTCTTACTGCTGGCAAACAAAGATCCTGCACATCTTAATACTTAATATACTTTATCAGCTTAAAGAAATTGTGTTTGAATCGCAGAAAAACCAAAATGTAAAACACACAATGTGATTTTTCTGGGGGGTTTATGTGCCAGGCTACGTTATCTTTATTGCTAAGATAAACTTACCAGCTGCTAGTGTAGCTTCATATTTACTGTTGATATTCTCTCAGCAAAAAAGGGAATTCATGGACAAAATGTCAAATTATATCTTTAAGTAGCCTCGAAGATGAATCTGTATCAACTAAATGAGAAAACATATTTGTCCTGACATCCAAGCGGACTGCCTCTCTTGTCCTTTGTTATAAAACACTGCAGGCTGAAATGTTTCTGTGAACACCAGAATCAGGTTTTAATGGTTGAAGTCGACTAATTCACTTACTTGTAGAAGTTCTTGTTGACTTTCTTCTCATGTGGGAATCCCAGCATGCCGCAGACCACACGTGTGTTTTTGATCGTCCATCCCAAGTCGCAGATCTGAGCCCAGCCGTCTTTGTATTTCACCTCCACCACACCCTCCGTGATGGGCAGCCTCTTTTTGGCCATGGCAACGACGGGCCGGAGTCGCACCTCCTCTATCTTGTTCTCATCGACGTGAGCCTGTAAGGAGAAAATCAGGGCTGACTGTCAGTTTGTTATCAACTAAAATAACTTTAAAGATTTACATTTTATTCCAAATTCTAAATGTATATGTTTATTAATGAAGAATTAAGTGATTATGTAGGTAAAATGTGTCATCAG